CCTCAGCAGCTGAGCTGTAAAGTCAGGATTTGAATCCTGGGCAGACTGGTTCAGGCTCTTAACCATTTCCCTCTATTGTTTAAATTGCCCTTGTCTAGAATTTCATGTTTCTTCCAAACCAATGCTTTTTCTTTTCTTTTCCCCCCGGTTTGGTTTTCATTGACATTTTAGGAAACGTTTTAGCACTGGGGAGACTTGCTTGATAGCGTATTTGTATCCTAGTCTCAAGTTTAATCTAACAGTTATCAAAATTCAGAGCAAACTCCCAGTCACGCGATTCCCCGTATCCGCAGACTGCCATTTCCTGTAAATGCCACGTGTGCTATTCTGAACTATCTGATCAATGTTCTTTAAGAAGCACCCCAGGATGTCGGGGGTGGAAGCCCTGTGGGAAAGACACAGTCCGGGGGGCAGGAGGACTGTAGCCGGGAAGGAGAGGAGAGAGAGGGAGACATCTTTCCCCAAAGGAGGGGCAGGAGGGAAAGGAGACTATTACTAATAATGGCAAACCCTGGGAGCACTCCGGGGGCTTCACTTCTCACCCAGGGAAGGCCCAAACCCTCACCGTGGCCCATGCGTCCCTGCAGGTCTGGCCCCTGCTGGCTGCCTCCCCTCCTTGCCACTGCCCTTTGCCCATCCCCTCCAGTGCTGGCCTCCTTGTGGTCCTCAGCAGCAAAGGCCCATTCCTTCCTCAGAGCCTTCGCCCCTGCTGTTCCCTCTGCCTGGAATATACCCAACCCCCAGTCGCCCACGAGGCTGTCACGACCACTTACGCAATGCTTGCTATGTGCAAGGACAGTTCCAAGCCGTGTATGAACATTGTTAACTCCATTAATCAACCCTCATTTCCTTCAGCTTAGGGCTCGCATGACAGTTTCTCGTGAGTGAGGTCTAACCAGGCCTTCCTGTTGAAACTGCTCGCCCCCTGCATCACATACCCCGTGAACACTGTTATCCTTCCCTACAGAATTTTTTGTGACACTGATCTACAACTAACCCATTATATATTTAGCTCTACCTTGTCTTTTATCTGTATCCCCCATCCTGGACTAAAATGTCTGCCTTGGTCACTGTCGTATCCCCCGCTGTCCGGAACAGTGGCTGGCATACAGTAGGTGCTCTGTGAATATTTGTGGAGCAAATTTATGGAGTTCTTCAGTTCTGGTGCCTTCCTCGAATCTTCTCATCTAATCCCATCATCTGTTCAGTGAAGGGTCTTATTATAGGGCCCATTCCACAGATGGGAAAACAGAGGTTCGGAGAGGTGAAGTCACTTTCCTTAGAATGCACAGCTTGCAGAAGAGCTTCTCTACACCGGGCTCCCGAACACTTGGGCCACCAGGCTCTGGTCACCTAGATGCCACTGCCCTTGTTGCAAGGCCTCTAACTGGTGACCGAGGCTTGAAACCGGCACCCTGTCCCTACGACCTCATTCTATTGGTGAAAGCAAGTCACAAGGCCAACCCAAGGTCACTTAACTATAAAGTCACAAGGTGAAGAGTATGGATACAGGGAGGGGTGAAGTATGGTGGCCAGTGGTACAATCTACCATAACTCCCACCAGCTCCCAGCTCTGGGGCTCTGCTCCCAGGCCAGAGAGGTCAGAAGTCATCTGGGGGAGGACCCCAGGGAGCTCATGTGTGGGGCTACTTTGAAGGAGACAGTCTCAGGGTGGCCTGTTTTTTTGTGGGGAAGGGAACAAAGCGGGAGAGGGTGGCGCAGAAAGAAGCTGTTGTGTCTGCATTTCTTGCTTGGGTGTGGTGTCTACAGGAAGCTGCAGGCAGCTTGGGCAGCACTCATTTGTTGGTGGATGGGCGAATGCCCTGACATTTAATCAGTCACTGAATTACCTGTTCGAGGGTTTTTAATCTAGATAGATAAAGTTAGCTCTATCTATCTACATATGCATCCATTACACATTGATCTATGTTTTTCTTAATTTTTACCTTTAGCTCAATTAAACATTAGTTCATAAATAAAAATTGCAGATGAGGGTTCCACGCAGCCCAAGATCCTTTATTTCAAAAGCTTTCCTCATAGTTCTTGTATAAAGGTCAGGCCTCGCAAACCTGCCCTCCACCCTGGTTCCATTAAAAAACCACTCAGTTGTCACAAGAGCTCTAAAAAGCCAGAACGATGGTCATCCCTATTTCACAAACGAAGGGAAGTTACTGGTTTGCACAGTTTCCCAGGACTTTTGATGCTTATAAAAGGAATTGGACCCAGATGATTCTAGAACTTCTCTAGTAAAGTGAGGCTGACTGGCTGTCTCCAGCAGACAGCTGTCCTGGCCCAGGGCCTGAGGCAGGGATCAGCACACTCCCATCTCTCCTGTCAGATGTAGGACGAGGCCATCATTCTTACGGTAACTGTGGGTGTGTGTTTTTCCTGGTTCTTGGTCTCCTGGAGCGGCCTCCCTACCCTCTGGGCTCCCAGGCTTTGGGAGGCTCACGTCTGTAATAACAGTGGTGCTTTTACAGCTAATCTGGCAAACTCGAGCCTGGTTTTCCACAGTGGGAAGATTTATCAGCCCTTACGGTGCATTTGGAGGGTTAATTTCCCTGTGTTTTACCGATCAGAACTCAATTTTTCTGGTCCTTGGTCTCTGAGCCACTGGGAGACACCAGTATATCCTTGCCACCCAGAGGTATTATTCTGGCCCAGAGTAAAGAACCCAGATAAAGTGTTGGGCTTTTTACAATATCAGAGTTACTCCTGGCTCCCCCCATGCCCATCACTGTGTCCCTAAGGGCTTCTCCAGCACTTACTGTCAGACCAGAAACAAAGTCCTATCCTCCAGCTTGGAGCTGGCAAGGATATTATCAGCCCCACACCCTGGCAGCCTCAGCCTGTGCCCACCCACCTCCTGGGGAGGCTGCCCATGTGTAGGGAAGGCCCAAAGATTAGAAAGTGCTTCCAGACAGAGCACTGAGGCCCCTGGCTTCTTTCAGTTTGGGTCCTGATGGTTCCACATTTCCCAGCTGCCGGAGGGGCAAGCTTGCAGCTCCCAGGCTACACCCCACTCCTGGCTTTCTATATTTCCCCTTCTCATAGCTGAGCCAGACTGCTTGGGTTCAAATCCTTTTTCTGCACTGGCAATCATGCTTTTGCATCTTACTTAGACTTTCAGTGTCTCAGTTTCCCTATCTGTAAAATGGGGATCATAAAATCCCTGATGTAGTTAGGCAGAATAGAGCTACTAAGGCAGGAAAAGGGGGCAGGGGGAAAGAAGGTGGAGTTTATCTCACCCACTGAACAAAGAAGTCAGCCATCGTAGAACTTGCCAAACCAGGTGACCAGAAGTATGTACAAACATTCCTAGATAAGCCCCAACAGTGTAGAAGGGGACTTCGAAACCTAGCCTGCTGCTGAAGATATCCGGCAGAGGAGTTTTGAAACCTATATGGGGGAGGGTATAAAACCTCTTGAATCCCCACCGGGTGGGGCACTCAGACTAGCCGAGTTGCCCACTTGTGCTTTACACCAAGTGCATTCTTAATGAATTCGCTTGCTGTGCTTCAGTGCTGCTGTCTCTAACGTCTGAATTCTTTCTCACAAGATTGATAAGAGCTGAGGAGGGGAGAGCCCCTGCCACCTCCGACTCAGGGCGCTCCCGGTAACACTGCCATCGTGTAGTTGTGAGGATGAGGTGAACTGACACTTGTAAAGGGCTGTGACCCTGCCATGCTGTAAGCACTCCATAAGTACCAATGTGGACAGAAAGGGGTCATACACTAAGCCTCACAAGCTCATGGGAGGTCTGCGTGGTGGCCTTACAAACTCAGAGACCAAAAGTAACCACATAGGATGGTCTGAAGTTACAACTTTCTAACTAAAAGTAAGTCATGGCGGACAGTCATGTCCTAGGCCAGAATCTTCCCTGACAAAGGTCAATCTTTACCTTAATTGAGCCTGTCTATTGTCTTTTTGCATCTATGATAACATACCTGATAACATACCTTTGGAATGTTGAGGTAACTTCCCTTTTTCTGGATCCCTCTGGGCACAAACACAGAGGTTGGAGACCACAAATTCTCTCGTTATTGTTAATTATAACTGTTAACTCTCCCATACCCACAAATGTGAAAGAAGTATGTATCTATCTGTTTTACTTTTTATCCAATCCCGGAGATTTCCCAGCTTGCTTTCTCACATCTCCCTAATCTATCACCAATGAATTTCATGTAACTCCCTTACATCTTGCCCTTTGATTCTAATGTATAAAATAAGTGGTGAAACTGCCACTTTCCAGACTATTATCTTAACCAGTTGAGGTTTTGCTTCCTGGCAATTGTCATCAGTTTGGTCAAATAAACTCATAAAAATTCTCTACAGGTTTGAACGTTTCTTAAAGTGACACTGACTATCGACAGTATAATTACTTACAAGGGGTCATACTCTTCCAGGGACATTGATACCCACTCCTCCCCACTTCGAGTTCAGGGCAAAAGGTGGCCATGTATGAGATGATGAGTGTNCGACAGTATAATTACTTACAAGGGGTCATTACTCTTCCAGGGACATTGATACCCACTCCTTCCCACTTCGAGTTCAGGGCAAAAGGTGGCCATGTATGAGATGATGAGTGTATTTATTTATCTATTCTACTGTTGAAGGCATTTGGACTGCCTCCAATTCTTGGCCATTACAGAGTGCTGCTAGGAACATTCTTGTAGGTCAAAATATCAAAGTTCTGGTCTTGGCTCTGCCCATAGCTATGTAGTATGTGAAACTCACTAAAGTTTTCCAGATCTGTGATTCCCTTTCTGCAAAAGGTATGGGTTGGAGGAGATAAATTTTAAAGGCCCTTTCAGCACTAAAATTCACTTTGAGTCTGGGGGATACACAAAACATAGCAGAAACTTTATTAGAAATGCCAAATACATCCATAGGAGCTCTCTGTTCTTCAAGTCTCCACCTGCTTATCAACTAATTGATGACCAGCAGTCAGAAGGCTCCCAGTCCAAAGAGGTGTCTCCAAAGGAACAATGAACGAGCAATTACAGCAATAGCAGCAGCAGTAGCTCTAGCCTCCCAACTGAAATGGGAAGCCAGGTGGTGGCCCCATTTTCAACATTTCGGGACTGAATGAGAGATTGGTATGGACATATTTCCTTCACCCATATGGGTCCTATTGTGAATATCCCAGACATCAGCTTGCAACCAGGCACGGACATACAGCCTTTGACCTCCAAAGTTGAGTGGATGTCTCCTATGGAACAAGGAAGGATGGGGAGACACAGATGTTTTAGGAAACCAGAGAGGAATCCAATCCCCCCTTATTCCTGGGCCTGAGTGTCAGAACCTCTTGGGATCCACTCAGATGTCTAGTTTTACAGCCTCTGAAACCATCAGATGTTCAGTTTACCTCCAGCGACCCGAAGTCTTCCTTGATAGCACTGAGTTGTTTCATTGGGACAGGGAAATAAAGGTGAACTCAAGCAGGACCCCAAAGCCACACAGGTTGGGCAACGGAGGGTTGACGACATATTCTGAGCTGGAGGGGGAAAGAGAGGGACAATTACAAGTATGTCCTGCCTCTGGAGTTGTCTCTCCTTGCTGCATTGTCTTCCCCAAGTCTTTCCTGCTGAAGCCATTCTAATCAAGGCTGATGACTGCCACCTCCCCACTCTTTTCCAACTGATTTTCTTTGCTGTTGGAATCCCATCCAACACGACTTCCAAGCTCTGTGCTTAGGTGTGATAATACAGAAATGAGAAGGTCACAGTCCCATCTAGAGTCATTGTCTAGAAGGAGAAAGACATGTAAGTAATTAACTTCAATACAACTCAGTAGGTACAGAGTCTTCGGTATAGGAGCAAAAAATTAAAGGAGGACCTAACTACCTAAAAGAATTTTGTGTCTTCACAGAGTGGACACCTGAGTTGAGGTGGAGGGTGAATAGAGATTAGCTACGTGAAAATGAGGGTTGGGTGGGGGTAGCAAAGGAAACATCAAGGACAAAGGCCTGGAGGTGTGAGCCAACTTGGTGAATATGGGGAATTGTGAGAAACTGCAGTGTTGATATTCAGCTGGTAGGCATGGGAGGGCTGGAATGGGATTTATAACCAGTGTCCATTCTGATTGGCCAATACCATCCCCATTGCCAAGTATTTTGAATACTAGCCTCAGCTAAAACACAATAAATAAGAGGGGGAAGAGAAGGAAATGAGCTGAAAAGATAGGCCAAATGGGGGAAGTAGGCTGTGATCATGTGGCAATAATTGTTAGATTGATTACGCCACCACCCTGTTCAGAGACCTCCACTGACACCTTGTTTAATAACACAAAACCCAATTTATACCCCAGCTTTCATTGATATCCCTCTCTTCTGAGAAGTGTTTAGACCCCAAGGTAACAATTTAGAAAAAGAAAGACAAGCAAAAGGTCTGAGATCCTTTTGTATATGGCCCACTTGGGCCTAAGCAAAGTAAGAACACAAAAAGGGGTGCCAGGTGGGTACTTGAAATATCGGGGGACACTCTGTAAAGTATACAGTTATCTAACTGCTATGCTGTACACCTGAAACTAACACAAAATGATACTGAATGTAAACTGTATTGGAAAATAAATAAATAAATAAATAGAAACTGGGTGGGGGGGGAGAACACAGAAGAGGAGGACCTACAGTCTCCTCAGGGGTTTATAGTTTCACTCTCCCCTCCCAAGGTACCTGGGATCATCTCTGAAATCCATCTCTCAGGTAAGGTCTCTCTGTTGTTGCAATAGGAGTGGTCACAGTAGTTACTGTAGGAGACCACCATTATGCTGGGGGGTGGAGAGTGCTGGATAACTGTTATTGCCTGTGACCCTTCGGAGCTGCAGCCCTTAGAGGCCAAAATTGCTGTCTTGGTTCCTGTTAGGAGACAAGAGAGAAGGACCCTGGACCGTGGGCCTAATGTTTGGCCTGGGGGAGAGGAAGAGCATTGACACGGACTCAATCACCCTTCCTCCCACCCAACCCAACCGCCCCTTCTCATTTTACCTGATTTAATAAGTAGCAGGGATTCCTGGCACAATGCCCCATTGTCACAAGTCTCAACTTTCTCTGTAGTCCAGTTAAATGTGATTGGATAATCTTCTATAATCACGGACACACTCTTGTAACAATACAAATTTTGTGCCACTGTGGGGGTGGGGTGGGGGTGGAAATGAGATCAAGTTAAGTACTTGCCTTTCTCCGTGGGGCCCAAATCACCCCTTTCCCACCAGAAATCCCTCCTGTGAGCCGGCTGCTCCCCTCCCGCCTCCCCTCATACATACGAGTGGAGGGGACTCCGAGGAGAAAGAGGAACAGCAAACCAGGGATGGGATGGGTTCCCATGGCTCCTTTTAGAGAGGTTTGGAAGAACTTTTCAGGATCTGTGATTCGATGAAGAGAAAACTTTTCAATCACACAGAATGAAGCTAAATCCCGGTTCCTGCGAGCGCCGGGCAGAGGTGACGGTACACAAACGATGACCTCTAAAGTCAGTCCGCCCCTATCCAGCTTGTGGGTTTGAGCAAGTTAATAAGTTTACTGTGCCTCAGTTTCCATAGCTGTAATTCTCAGACCCAGCCACCTACTTCTTTAAGGCCAGGAGCTCAACATCCAAAGACTCTACAGCCTCAGGATCCAGGGGTGTGGCGCAAAGGTCCCTCCTCCCTCAGACTCAGGAGCCCAGGTTCGAACCTATGCTATTTCAAGGCCCAGGTATCCCAGTCCCCAGCCCCCAGCCCCATCAGAACCCGGGATTCTGAGAGCCCACTCCTGTCCTAGCTAAGAACTTGGCTTCAGTCACCGTTTCCCGCAGGACATGTTATCCCAGGCCCACCCCTCCTCCCTCAAACCCAGGAGTCCAGGGCCCGGGCCTCGTCCCCCTCAGGCCCAGGNCTAAGAACTTGGCTTCAGTCACCTTTTCCCGCAGGGCATGTTATCCCAGGCCCACCCCTCCTCCCTCAAACCCAGGAGTCCAGGGCCCGGGCCTCGTCCCCCTCAGGCCCAGGAGTCCACTCCCCTCTCCAGACTTCTCTTTCCTCAGACCCCAGGAATCTGGGTCCCTAGTCCCCTTTGACTCTCTAAAGGACCGAACTCCTCCCGGCTTCCAGTGATCTCACAGAAATCCAACAGTTCTGAAGGCGCTGCCCGGAACGCCCCTCTTACCCAACTCAGCCTTCTCTTAGCGTCTCCGCGAGGCACGGAAGGCGGGGCCAGCCTCGCCCCTCAGGTCACTCGAAGCCCCATTGGTCAACGCCAAAGCATCTGATGAGCTCATTGGATGAGCCTGGAGGAAGGCCACAGTCCATTGGCCAAGGAGAAGCCTATTCCGGGCCGACCTGGAAGGCACGCATGCGCAAACTGGCAAGCGGCGGGTAAGCACGTGCACTGGCGCGTGGGAGGGTGTGGGGGTGAGGGGTGTGGGGAGTTCGCGGGTATTTGCAGCACCCAGCATGCAACGCGGGGCGAGGGCGGGGCAGCACAGCCCCCGGCGAGCGACGTCGGGCGCTGCTGCTTCTCCTTGGGCAATAGCGTCCCTGCTTCTCCAGCCACACTGGGAGGTCAGACCCTTGGCTCCTCATCCACTGACCTTGTCTCCCTGCCCAAATAGCCTCTCCAGTCCCCAGCCCTGGCCCCCGCGTGGTGGTCGTAGCCTTTGGGGGGTCAACTTGCCCTCCTCACGCATTGCTCACTCGGCAGATGTTCCCGCTCAGCCCAGGCGTGGTCCTCTGGTCGTAGGCTGGCACCAGTGGCCTTCTGGGAGCGGCAGAGAGGGCCGCCGGCCTCAGCGTTACCTCCAGCGCCCCTGGATGTGCGCATGAGCAGTAACTGCGGGATGCCACAGGTTTGCCTTGCGTGTCTGACCCGCGTGTCCGCGTCGGGACCTGGAACATGACGGGCCCTTCAGATTTCTTGTTCATGGCAGAAAATTCTATTTCATGCGTAAGTATATAAGCTGATTGGATGTAACAGGCAGTAACGATGCCTTTTGTGTACTTTTCAGACTTGGAACTCTTTCTGTGAGTTCTGTGGTATAAATGACCGTTTTTAATAGAGAAAATGCCATAATTAGAATGGTGTTGGTAAAGCTCTTAATTTTAGGTGAAAATATATTAAGAGCTTTGAAACGGTTAAAAAACCTCTAACGACTGAATATAAATATTAAGAGAAAGCAGCTTAGCTAGATTAGGAAGAATATGATATCCTTTTAGAATCCCTCCAAAATGATTTTTAAAAATAGACTAATGCAAGACAAAAGAGCTGCCATTAGATTATATTGCAGCCCTAATCCTTTGGTGTGTTAACATTCAGAACACTAAGAATGGGCATGTGATTCATGGAGAGAGTGGGAAATAATCAGGTGTCAGATGCCCTCAGGTCCTGGGGACACAGGACAGGATGACTTGGGGTCACAGGAGGCAGGAAAGGATGAAGCACGTCACCAAAGGGCAATGGCCAATGCCAACCCTATCCCAGCAACCAGGCCAGGGACAGTGCCCACGGATTTCAGGGGAGGAGGTCTCTGTTATGATGGTGGTGAGTGTGGCCGATTCTGTGATCAGTCTGCCTGGCACATTCTGGAAGCGTGGGCAGTTCTTAGAATAACTGAAGGGACTGTCTTGCTTGGTGCCTTTTAACGGAACAGGCTTAGCAGGTAGACAGTCTTTAGTGCTCACTGTGGTTTTGATCCCACCTCCAGGAGCAAAGTTAGAGAAAAGACAGCAAGAAATTCACCTCAAATGCCGATGCCGGGCCCCCGCGCTCTTATCACACGGGATCCTATGGTTCCCTAGCCCAGTCCCCTCTTCCCTCTTAATATATTAAGAACTTTCAATTGGGGACATTAAGAATATAATTATGAATATTTTATTATTAACATAAATATTAGGGGCAGTGAATAGAATAAATATAGAGTTTGTGATCCCAAAGACCCTGTCCCTAAGGACCCAGGAGTCTGAGTCACCCTTCCTTCTTTTCAGGCCTCAGGGCTCCAACACCCACATCCCTGGATCTATAACAGTATGTGGTTTTCCCAGGGCACTGTGTTACCACAGGTCTGGGACCGGGTCCCAGATCTTGACCACAATCGCCAGTGCAATGGATTGGAGGCCAGAGAGGGTGGTTGGGAGCTGCACAGCTCCCTGCTGCCAGCTCTACAGTGTTGTCTCTGATCCCTCATCCATTTCCATCTCTCTGACTAGCACTTTCCCTGGCATAGCTGGCTTCTAGCACCTATAGCGAAGGCCTCTCAAACTGACTCTTGGCCTGTGTATTTGTTTCCTGGGGCCATGGTAACTAAGTACCACAGACTAGGAGGCTTAAACAAAAGAAATGTATTGTCTCACAGTTCTGGAGACTGGAAGTCCAAAATCAAGATGTCAACAGGGTTGGTTCCTTCTGAGGGCTGCGAGGAAGGGTCTATTCCTGGCCTTTCTCCTTGGCTTGTATATGGTTTATCTTCTCCTTGTGTCTTCACATCATTTTCCTTCTTCATGTGTCTGTCTCTGTGACCAAATTTCCCCTTTGTATAAACATGCCAGTCATACTGGATTAGAACCCACCCTAATGACCCTTAACTTGATTAGNTTCATGTGTCTGTCTCTGTGACCAAATTTCCCCTTTGTATAAACACGCCAGTCATACTGGATTAGAACCCACCCTAATGACCCTTAACTTGATTAGTGCTGTAAAGACCCTATGTCCAAATAGGTCATTTTCTGAGGTCCTGGGGGTTAGGGATTCAACTTATTAATTTGGTGGAGTGAAGTAGTGCCAAACAGCTCTCAGGGGCATCCCTGTGCCATTTTGTGATTTTTAAATGTCTTACTGTCATTTCCTGCTGGGATCCTGACCAATTAAATAATTAGAATCAGGAGTGGCACCTGGAAACAGACCCATAAAACTGAATTCTGGGATTAAGTTTCTACCACCTAGGAGAAGCAGAGATAAGCACCTTGGTGGGGGAAGATGGAGCACAGGTGAGACAAAGCCTATGGTAATCTCACAAGGGCTCAAATTATCACTGGGGATAGCAGTGAAAGAAGTTCAGGTGGAAAGCAAGGTATTGGAAGTTGAAGTGGCTGTAGCAGTTTGTTACTATGGCAACAGTGGTGACTCTGTTGATTGCGGAGTCAGTTGGTTTCTTTGGATGGTCCTAGAGAACAAACAAGGGGAAGGGAAACAATTGAAAAAGAGAATGTCCAAATGTGAGGCAGTGGACAATCAGAAAATTTCCTTGGCAAAGTGTCCCTTGTCTCCTCTAGGGTCAGGGCAAATATGGCTGAGGACCAAGCCCAGAGCCTGGTTGCAGAGTTGCACCACCAGGTAAGTGTTCAACCCTGCCATGCTGTGCTAAGGGGAAGGCACAGACATGGGATGGAGACCTTGGGCAGACCAAACCCCCTGCACATTGATGGTCCCCCATTTTCATTTGAGGGAACCAGCTCTCCCTGCACAAAAGCCTGCCAGTGATGCACCTGGGGCAGTCCCCTCACAAGGCAATGCTTGTTCTCCAGATCTACAAGAGGGAGTTTCCAACATAGTCGAGAGAAACATGGGGCCTGCCTGGGATGAACATGCCACACACTGAAAGCCTTACAGGACCTTACCAGTCTGCAGTGGCAGGAGTCCTGGAGCACATGCATGAATAGATTCTGTACCAGTTATCCATTTATTGCCTTTCAGTTCCAGATCCACTCTTCATTGCCCTGCTGGGTCTTGCAAGCATTTTTCATCTTTCTCCTGGCACAATGTTAGGCTTTGCCAATAGAGGGTGCTAGAGGGACACTGCAGGAAGAAGGGCTTCTTTTCCAGCCAGAGAGGGAGCGGTTGCTCCCTACATTCCTAATTCTTTAGAGTTCTCTTTACACTTTTAGTAACCAGTCCCCCAAGTTAACTCTAATTCCCTGTTATTAGTGAATAATTTCTTATATTAAACTTTTCCTGTTAAGATTATTGTGTGGTTCCTGACTCCTTCCTGGACCCTCACTGATAAATTCTAAGGGTGTGAGACCAGACAGAACGAAGAGTAAGGCTTGATGAGGCTGAATCTTTTCACATGGGATATAGGATTTAAATCAGCTCAAGCATCTGGGACCATCATGACTATCTGCTTAGTTAGTTAGTTAATATCTGGACTCAATGCTAGAGCTTCTCTTATGCTTCTATATAAAGAATTAGCAGTGGTGACTCTTTTGGTCTAAACTGAGTTAGCTCTCCTTTGCCAAGAAGTGTTTCCTTCTTCTTCCTTTTGTCTTCCTAGTATCCAAAATTTATTAATCAATGTTAAAGCACGTGGAATTAAAAACAAATTTAACAACATTTTAAATTGGTTTCCTTGAATGAGATGACCCTGATTTTAGGTTTGGCCTTATGACTTAACATCAAATAAAATATAGCATATGATAATTAGCAACTACCTGTTTTGTGATTTCTGGGTAAAAATGTAAGCCATTGATAAAAGTCTTGTCCTGATTCATTCAGAAGAAATCACGTGGCAAAGACCTCAGCTAGAAGAAGGTTAATGCTTATTTCTCAAAATCTATAAACTATGCAACACATATGCTATTGGAATCACCAAATAGAATAGAGAAAATGTGCCAGGGAGAGCAAAATGTTTGAATCCTTTACAGACTGGCTAGTCATTCTCATACTGATATTTGGGTGGGTTGTGTAAAAAGACCTCAGGCAAGGGCCTTCTGAACGGCCACTTGAGGAAGTGAAGCTGTCAGGATGGGCTTCATACCGAATCAGTTTTCTTTACAAAAGACCATTTAATGCTATTTGATTTATTACAAGATATATAAGGACAATCAAGTTGTCTTTCTATAACCAGATGGCCCATGACTGGTTGAGCCAGCCCTGCCTACCGTGGTCTTTTGGCCTGTGCTTCTGTGAGATGGTTTAACAGATAGTTTCTATTGCTTTGGGAAATATATGCTGCCTCCTGATGGCGTCTCAGTTGAAGGAAAGATGAGGGGAGGTTGACTGGTGCTGGGACACTGGGGGGAGGAGGAGAGTCAGGGGAGGTTGACTGGTGCTGGGACACTGGGGGGAGGAGGAGAGTCAGTGGAGATGCCTGGAGTCTTTCGGCTTAATTCTCCCAGCTCCGGAAAATAGGAAACTCTCCGGACCCCAAGCAGCAGGCTGAGGGCAGGGTTCGGAGGAGGCTCTGGGTCCTCCTACGAGCCACCCTCCCTCGGGGCCCTGGGGCAGCCAGAAGCTCTCCATGAAGTCCCATGACCTTGCCTCTGTTCACCTCCCTCGGGAAACTGAGGGACGTCATTCTGGGTGGGAGGAAATAAAGCCTCCAAGTCCGACCTGTGTTTATGGGAACCTGACTCCAGCTGCATCTCCTCCAGGCCTCGGTCAACAACGTCCAGGGTCAGTAGGAGACCCTGAGCTGCTTAAATGCTGCCCCAAGTAGCACTTGGGAAGGAACCTTGGCTACGACATGGCTCCCACCTTCCCTCCTGGGGGTCAGATGCATCTCCTAAGAGGACAAGTTGGCAAGATGGAGAGGTGAGCGATTGAACCAGCCAACCACGAACCCTCCCACCAGCTTCCTCCCAGGTCTCCCCATTGCCCTGCAGCTCTGGGGCCTGGGGCTGAGCATCTGAGAACCGCATATTACTGTTGTCCTGGGCAGGGGGCTGGAGAGCTCTAGGGTACAGGACCGCTGTCCCATGACCCAAAGGAGCTGGGTCCTTGGTTTCCTTCCTTGAGTGGACACTAAACAGCTCTGTCCTTGGTCAGTCCTGTTTGAGGTGCTGGTGCCTGGGAGACCACAGGTCATGGAGTGAATGGGGTCCTTTTGGGGT